GAACTTAACCTAGGACACCTGCGGCTCCTCTGCTCTCCCAACACCCTGTGCTGAGCCAACTGTTCCACCTCTGCCAGGGAAACATGCCTGGTCCAGTCCTCAAGCCCTGTGTGTTCTGCAGCTGTTGCTCTGGCCTCAGGGACTTCCTGGGAACCTCCAATTCCTTGTGACTGGGCCCTCCAGCCTTCAGTACAAAAAGAGAGTGGAAGATTCCTTCAGATCACCAGAGATAATGACAAAGATGAAGGATATTGGAAAGATCAGATTGAGAACTTCCTGCAGCCATCCGGATCTAGTAACAACAAAAGACTTGGGTGCAACATTTAAAGACAGTTTCCATCTCAGGTTTAATAACATAAGTCTAAGAGGACATAAGCCCAAGTTCTAACATATTCAACCAATTTGCATTTTCATACCAAATCAGTTTTACTAATTAAAATGGTTCAGCGTCCCTGACTGTTTAATTCCTGAGCATCTTCAGGCCTCATATATTCATAGGAATTATTTATACCACCTTCTGCCCCTACCCAAACGATCTCATTACTCCTCTAAACCATTATATTCAAGCTCTTCATTATTTTGGCTGCTTTTTAGAACTCAGCCCCACTTTTCAACACTTTTCAGAGTGTTGCTTAACTACAGCACCAAAAATTCTTGACATTTATAGTACTTTCCACATCTCACTACTATAGTCTTTAGTGTTAAAAAAAATCCTCCACTTTGATGCTTTAAATAACCTTTTGGATTAAAGCCTATCAGGTTCGTGTCATAAAGAACTGGGAAAGTTGTTGAGATTCTGTCTCCCACTGCCTTTAACCAGAAATCCCTGACGTGCCCTGACAGAAGTGCAGAAGCGTGGGCACTGCTCAAGTCTGAGGTCAGCTTTGAAGACCCCCTTCCACGCTGGTCCTCGAGCACTAGAGCTCTGCAATGGGCCATCAACGCTCACCGAGGAGGTTGGTGTGGGTCCCAGTGGAACTGGGACACCCATGGGCATCCATCTCAGACAAGAACCTGTGTTGTCTCCACTGCCTCAGTTGGAACTCCTTCCCCTACATTTCTGTTCACCAAAAACCTACTAGGTTTTGAAGGTGCTTGGTAGGCTAGCTAAGACCACAGATTGTCACCGACCAGCTGGGTCATTTCAGGCAAATGCCTTCACCTTGCTCTACTTTCTTTGTTCCTCCTGCCCAATGAATTACTATAAGGATTGAACGAGTCACTAGGTGTCAAGTACACAGGAGCCACCACTGACTTTGCAAAATCCCTGCAGTTTCTGCCCCAGAAGTCATTCCCTGCTCCAGTTCCTGCCCCGCTTGCTGGCCCACTGCAGCCTGTACTGCTCTTCAGCTGTGCACTGCTGTTTTACCTTCACTACAGCTCATGATTTCTGAGAATGTGTCTCTCACAGCCTCCAGGCAGTCTGCTTTCAGAGGCCAATGACCCTTTGTGGAATTATGAGTGCAGGGAATGGCCGGCATCACTTCCCGCTCCTGCTCATTTCCAGTTTTCTCTCAAATTCATTCTCTTCCCTAAATTCTTTTCATGGGTAGTTATCTAGTGTGACTTTTGAACTAAAACTGTCATAGCTAAACTGGTCTACCCAGCCTGAATCCAAGAGTCTTTGCCCCTGAAGCAGGAGAGCAGTGAGGGAGTCTGAGGGCTAGCAGGAGCACCCTTCAGGCAGTTCCATCGGAAGCTGGGGTGGACCCATGCCAGCCTGCTGCCAGACACTGGCCTTTCAGTATGTCACAAAGCAGACAAATAGAACCGAGTGATGGTCCCAGCTCACCATGCTTCTGTTCCTCCTCTAAAATGGTGTAATGTCTATTTGGACACCCTTCTAGAATCCAAGATGAGTTGTTAAAAGACAGAATAAAAGTCAACACAAGGAACTATTGCTCTGTAGTTTAGAAGTATTTGAGCAGGGATTTGAAAAAAAAAAAAAACGTGTAAATAGCTAACTCTCAGCAGCCAATGATCTGCTCAGCTAGCATCAGGAAGTCCACCTGTTCTGAGAGCTGTGATCTTTCAAATGCTGCTGCTGGAAGCATCCATGAGGAGGATGTTTCTCAGCAGGGCCACCAAGAAGTAAGGAATGTAGAGGTTGCAAGGTGGCGCAGCTCTGGCTACAGACACCCGAGTTTCACCCCTCAACAAGCACGCACAGCACCTGAAGGGAAGGGAAGGAAAAAGTAGAAGTGAACGTCAGGCCGAGACTGCATTCTGCAGTGGTGCCCTGGGTCTGGAAGCTGCAGCAGATGGTGTTCAAGACTAATTCTGGGAGGACTGCAGAAAGTAGGCAGGTTATTGTTTCATCTGGCAGCAGGGCTGGACAAAGGGCACAGCACATACACTCTGGAAACTAAAATATGTGGCCCTTTACCTTGATTCTCATTGTAGACTGCTCTAGGCCCCCCAGACAATTTCAAAGTGCACCAGAAGTCAGCTCTATACGCGGTAACAGGAATCTATCTCACTCTGTGACTTTGGGGATTTCTGAAGTTGTAGGGAAGGGTTACCTCTTGGCTAACCTAAAAGCAATTAGAAAGTTAGTCTGAAGAATTCAATTAAAAGGAAAGCCTTGCATCCTAAGAGAAGCGTCCTACAAGCTAAGTCCCTCTGTGTGCCACTGGCCTTACAAGCACTGATGCCAGCTGACTAATGTGATGGCCTTCTGAGGTAAGAAGTTCCCCGAGGGCACATATTCCCCACTACAGCTTCCAGACAGAGTGGGCAAGACCATATCATGGCATCCACCCTACCCATTATGCATGTGCTGGTTATAGTTCAATGCAGTCTCTCCTGAGTTTGCGTGTGTGTCTCTCTGTGTGTGTGTGTGTGTGTGTGTGTGTGTGTGTGTGTGTGTGTCCTTGTCTCTGTGAATGAGGCAGAACACTCTCAGACGCTTGAGCCTCATGACAGCTCTGGCTGACTACCCTTAGCTGAGAAATTGGCTTCATATATGAAAATGGAGCTAATGTAACTGTCCCTGTCTACCTCACAGTGCTGTTTAGCAATCAAAGTTGACTGCATGGGAAATAACCTTATGAACAGTAAAATACAAATGAAGACTGAGCCTGGAGTAAGGAGGCACTGTAAGGAGATTGAAGTCACGTCTGTCTAGTGGACTGCAAACAGACACTACTCTTGGCAGCTTGTCCCATCTAGAGGTAGGTTGTTTTGTTTTGTTTTGTTTTCCCTTGGATCTGGGCAGATTAGATGCAGAGAGGCTTTAGCCAGGAGAAGGCAGCAGACTTGACCTTGTGTGAGCTCTCAACCTGAGCCTCAGGGCTTTGCTACACTCCTGCTCTCACTTAGAACCTCATAGCTTTGAATGTCATAAGCCTGGACTAACCTACTGGGAACATCCCATCACCCCAGCCAGCAGCCACAGGTATGCAAGGCCATCATAGACCTCCAACCTCCTGCTGATGGCATACACGAGTGAGGCCAGGCCAGATCAGCTGAGCTGGCTCAGGTCAGGGCATATCTCCATAACTCAAGCTTACACACACGCACACACACACACACACACACACACACACACACACACACACACACATACACACACACACTGCCACATGCACATGTGTTCAATCACAAATGGCTGTATTGAAGCCACTGAAACTCTGGCAATGGCCTATCAAACAAGGGCAAAGTGAGGCACCTCTCACAGGGTAAGTGACAGCACAAGCTCCCTACTCAGGAATAATGCAGCCCACACATCAGCTGTCCAAGTGGCTAAGAGGCCATAAGAGGCCTGATGTCCACCTTCCCACCAAGATGTGGTGTCTAACTTCCTTCCCTGAAAGGGCCTGCCTGCTGTTGCCTGCTCACCAGCTTGAACCCTGACAGCTCATTTTACTAGTGGCACCTGGCCTGTGTTTCTTTTAAAATCTACCTTCCAGTACCTAACAGCTCATCATAACCAGAGTCCTGGCTGTGAGAGGTGAATGCATCCTTCCTTTAAAAGTCAAGGGAGAGGCTGGAAACACAGCACAGTAGTAGAATGTGTGCTTCAGAAGCCCTAGGCTTCATTCCTAGCACTCCAAGTTGAGAGCATGCACCCCAGTGAAGCAAAGTGGTCAAGATCAAGCAGCAAAGACAAGGAGAGGATCCAGTAGCTACGCACAGTTCTGGGACCCTTGCAGCTTCTTCTAAAGATGCGAATTCTCCCCTGAGTTGTGCCTCTCATTCCCAGTCTTATTTCTGGTCCCTTGCCTTAGCTCCCTATTGCTCACCTGCCTTCTGCTACAGCCGGACAGTGATGGCTAGGTAAAGCCAGAATGTGGGCGTTTGCTTGTTTGTGCTCACGGAGACCTACGTCATAGCCCAGAAAACAATCGTCATCAGATTTGTCATCAGAGCTGAAGTGCAAAGTGGCGGTGATCCCCAGGCCTAGTGGCCAGCAGGGCTATCCTCAGCTCTCCTCCTCCACACCTCCCTGCCACCCAGCCTCTCCCTATTCTTCCATGGCCCACCTGAGACCTCCCCAGACCTGACAGAAGCACCGTCAGGAATCAGGCTGAGGATAATCTTCACTTTTTCTATCCTTATGAACAGCTTTCACGTCCCAGAGTCCTAAAGCACATTTAGTTTTTGGCACAAGAGGCTCTGAAGATGTAATAAAGAAAACAGGTGCCTCCTCAGGACAAGGATGACCAAAAATGGTTCCAAGGCTACACGTAATGTTTCTCTGTGGCACAGAGATACTGTTATTTATTGGCGGCTGACAACATACCAAACATCAGCTCCTTTCCTGAACCATACCATCTAGGAAATCTAATGCCTGGCAGACCTCCATGGAGGGCAAAGGCCTTGACAGTCCTTCCTTGAGATTTAAGAACACTAAGAAGAGGTTTCTCCCTGTTGGATACAAATAAAAGTATCTTTTGATGCCTGTAGGCCTGGATGCTGAAGCAGTACCCACAAACAAATCGACACAATGGGGGACTGGGAGTAGGCCAACAGGGGCAAAGTGAAGAAAGTTGGCTGACCTTTGGTTAGTGCTGCAGGGGTCACATCAGACATGTCTACCCGGAAGAGCAGGTACTGCTGGGCTTGGATAAGGAGGCCAGGGAAGTCTCTCTCCACAGAAGCAAACTGCTCGATTTTGTTTTTCACAGATGCAAGGACCTGTCGACAAAAAACCACATTAATGATGCTGCTGCTCCACAGTGCAATTCCACTCCCAGTTATCAATATATCTTTCAGGTCCAGCCCTCATTACAGGAACTGTTATATGAGGTGGTTGCTCATTTTTAACTGCCTGGGTGTTCTCGGTACGCTATTCTCAAAACAGCAAACTAAATGAAGCTTTACAGGACCAGCTTAACAGGACAGGGAAGTAAAACAAATTAATTGAGATGTGGGATTTTTAAAAAACAACAAAATCATGAGGGGAAAGAGAAGAGAAAATGAACAGGTGTGGATGTGAGCCCCACTGACATACCTGATAGAGAGAGCGGACACTAGGCTGGAAGACCATGTTGGTGTTGAGGAGAAAGGAACGCAGGAGCGGCTGGGGGTAACTGGCCAGCTGGGTGATGATACCAATAAGTAGCAAGTTGACATGCAGAGAGTTCTCTAGCATGTTCTCCAGCTTTGACAAGACCACACTGATGAACGGACCTGTAGGAAAGACACACAACGTCAGGGCTGGCTGACCATGTAGGGACGTGTCTCCTTACCAGCTGCCAAGCTGTTGGAGCCATAGCCCCAAACCACTGTGGGCTCAATGGGTGCCAACCCAGAAGGCACATATTCTGTTTCTCCTGTCTACAGGCCCAGATGGAATAAAAAATACCATCACCAAGAGATGGCAGGAAGATCAGCTTGATGGTTAATACTCTGACTCCACATGTAGCTCTAATATTTTGAAAATTATCAAGGACTCTGAAAAACTCAAATAACAATTTTTAAAGATTAAAATTACTTTTTTCTATATCATTTCTGCATTCCTTGAGGCTGTCAGTGTTAAAAATATGACATTTACTATCTCCTGGTGCTGTGGACTGCATGCAAACACTAGAGGCCATTGAAAGTATCATGGCAACAAGTCTTTGCGTTAGTAGAGAATGCCACACATGTATGAACAATGTTCACCAAGCACATGACCAGGGACTGTCTTTTCTGAACCTGAGAAAGCTTCTGCCTCATCAAGAGTCACGAGGTGGAAGAAGGGAAAAAAAAGAGACGGATAAGAGTGGGGAGGACCTGTGCTGAGATGTTACCAGTCCTGGCAACTTGGGATCTGCATTTCTTTTTCAGATGAGAAAGAAGGGAATCAGTCTTGGGAAATATATTCTGGTATGCCACAGAAGTCTCAAAAAAACAAAACCCTGTCACTTCAAAAGTAGTTCATAAAAAAGTATAAGCAAGAGGAAGCTGCTGCTACTGCATCAGGATGTTAATATGCTTCATGTTCGTGTTTACTGAAGGCAAGGGAAACAAAAAATTATCTGGCATTAACAAAATTACTTCAAGGTGTTTTAACTTTTTAACATAAAAATGTCCCACTAAGCAAGATCAGTGAGAATTTTGTATTTCCCTCAGTGGAGCTATTGATGCCACTAAGCCCTAACCCTTGACTTCACCACCATTAATGTGCATTTAAAATAAGCACACTTCATCTGCAGATGCTCCATGCAGAAGTCTGACAGCAGCTAAGAGTAAAATTCCTTACAAAGAAACAAGGTCTCTATGAGAAATGGGAGCAGCAGACCTAAGCCTGGTACCCACTCCAGGTAATGATGGGGTAGCTGCAGTAATCCTGTGTCAGGTCTCAGGAGGTTCCATGCTCTCACATGTCACACCATCGCTGGGAAGACCGGCAAAGCCGTTCAGTCACTTTCCATGCAGAGTAGGCACCGAACCTTAATAGGCTTGTTGAGCCTTCGAGAAGCTTGCCAAACAAACCTGGGACAGTTGGCCAAACATACTCAGGAACTCTACAGACTGGAACCCCAGGTTCAAAGCAACTGGTTTTCCCATTAAGAAGTCCTCATCATAACGGCGCCACCTGTGTGCTGTATGAAGCCTCACCAGAGGTAGCACTCAAAATAGCACCAACGTGCAAATGGTAGACAGCAGAATCACCTGTAAGGAGGAACTTCTCTTGGGCAGAACAAGCCCTACCAAAAACTACAATATGATGACTGTATCAAGGTAAGATGTAGTCTATGGATGGATCATCTTATAATGGGTGGATAAATTTGATTTTTGCTTTGGGTGGGCTCCTCTTGGGTATGGATTATGGAATTTAAACCATGTCACAGCTGTGAATATCTGTCACAAGATAGAGTGGTAATAACTTTTTTAAGTGACAGTGCCATAGTCTGGACAGTACCTTTCAATGACTTGACAGCCTGTGAGTCCAGTAAACAATCACTTTATTTGCTAGGGAGTGAAGTCCAGTGTTAGGGTGGTTTTCAGTTTCTCCCAGACCTAAATAGACCTAAATTGGAAAGGTATACAGCCCCTTTATCAGCCCCTTTAAGGAAAATCTGTATTTCAAAGAAAACCTGTATCTCTGCAGTCAATCTTGTAGTCTTGTAGAGGAATTTACACACTTGAAACTTACCAGTAACTTTTTGGGCGGCTCAGTAAGAAAGCATGGTAATACTGGAAATTTCTCACAAGACTTCTACCTAGCACTTAAAGGTCTAAATACATAAAGACAAACTAGTACACATAACCTGGGAGAAACGGTCAGACCTTGTATTGTGTTTTTGGCTTTGAAACTAGGAAGTGACCAGAATCTGCCATGGCAACAGGCTTTTTAAAGACCCTTAAAAAGACACTGTCTCAACTGTGATTGGTAGCACCAGCCAGCTCTCTGTACACTTGCTAGCTTGTAGATTTCTAAGACTGGGTAAACTTATTTTTAGAAAGTGGAGGTCTGGTTTGTAACTTTCCTTGCACTTAATTGGGTAAAAGTCTTTTCCACAAAGCCCATCTATTTTATAACTTTGTTAGTCACTGTTTATTTGGCAGATTAAGAACTGGTGTAAATTTGTACAATTCATATATATCGATTGTGGCGAAGTTGTACAGATTTCTATAGTTTGGATGAGAAATTTTTCTTCTCTCTATATTGTTTCTTATCTTGGCATCAAAAAAAACAAAACAAAAAACCCCCCAAAAACCCAGAAGTCCTCCTCACAGTGCAACCCTGGCTTTCTGGATGGATGAACAATAGAAGGCTGCTGTCGTCAGCTTCTTCCAGTCTGGACTACTCTTTCTCTGCCCCTGACCCTCAGCTCACTGTCTCTGGCTCTTTATCTCAGTCTCCCACCACACAAAGAAAAATCAGTTACATGAAAACATAACTGGGTGAATGGAGTCTTCTGTAAAACATCCCTCTCTAATGTGATTGCTCGACTTATCTTCCCTGACCCCAAAATATTCTTGTCTGCATCCAGTCATCCTACCTATAAACTTCTGACCACCAGTGACCAGGGTAGATGTCTACAGCCCATCCCTACTACAAGGGGGATAAAAATGGCTCAAATTCCACACACAGTAAAGAATAAGGTTGTGTCATCAGTGCCTCACTTGAGTAACAGTACATTAAGTCAAGGCCAGGAGCCTGCCATCATAATCCACCAATGTTAACTATAGCTTCTTAGGCATGAGCAATGAAAAATAGACATTATGCCAGGTGTAGTGGTGCACACCTCTAATCTCAGCACCCAGGAAGCAGGGGCAGGCAACGCTCTGAGAGAGGGGCCAGCCTGATCTACATAGAGAGTTCCAGGCCATCTGGGGCTAAAGGGAGACCCTGTCTCAAAAAAGAAATATATATATATATATATATATACGCATGTATGTATGTGTATATAATGTATTATATGCACTAAACTCCTTGAATTCCTACTTTATTCTTAGCTAGTTTCTAGCATATCACAAAAAGATGCTTAGCAAAAAGCAGTTGCTAGGGGAACTGGGAAACAGCAGGAAATTAGAAGACTGAGTTCTAACTCGGAACGCCACAGGCACACACTGGGAACAGAGGGTGGACTCCCTCCTCCCCTCTATTCCTAGGAGGACAAATAACCTCCTCACCTGCTACAGTGTGGATTGTGAATGTTCCCCCAAAGGCCCAGGCATTGAAGGCTTCGTCCCCAGCTGATGACACTATTAGAAGTTGGTAGAGTCGGGAGTGGTGGTGCACTTGCTTTAATCCTAGCACTGGGAAGGCAGAGGCAAGCAGATCTCTGTGAGTTCGAGTCCAGCCTGGTATACATAGTGAATTCCAGGCTGGCCAGGACTACAAGGTGAGACTCTGTCTCAATAAAAAAAAGAAAAAGGTGGTACAACCCTTAAGGAAGTGGAGCCTAGTAGAAGGAAATTAGGTCACTGGGGCATGTCCTTGAAAAGAATATAGGGACCCTGGTCTTCCCCACAACTTTCTGCTTCCAAACTATCATGAGAGGAGCAGCTTCCTCTACCATGAGCTCCCACTGTGATGTGTTACCTTATCACAGGCCCAAAGGCAATGGGGCCATGTGACTATGGACTAAAACTTCTGAAACTGTGAGCCAAAATAAGGTTGAGTGCCTCAGGTATTTTTTAAAATATTTTATTTAATATTTTTATTTTATGTGTATGACTGTATTGCCTGCATGTATGTAAGTGTACCCATGTCATACAATGCCTGCAGAGGTCAGAAGAGGGCATCAGATTCCCTGGAACTAGAGTTACAAATGGTTGTTAGCTGCCATGTGGGTGCTGGGAATTGAACCCAAGTCTTCTGCAAGAGCAGTCAGTGCTCTTAACCTCTGAGCCATCTGCCTAGCCCCAGTGCCTCAGGTATTTTGTCACAGTATCAGAAAGTTAATGAATAGACCACCCATAGAATATGTAAAATTACAGCATGACTAAGACCATCCCCACTGCCCCTCCCCTTGTCATCCATTTCTTCCATCAAGTGCCCCATCCCCTACTTTTAGTGAGCCTGTTCCCTCTTCCTGTTTTTTTCAATCCCAAGAAAAAAAGTTGCTATCAGTTTTGTGTCTCAGCTCTGTTCTGCAAATTCAACCTTGGAAAAAAAGTCTCCTGAATGTGGGTCTTTACCTCTACCTCCCCTGCAGCTCTGTCCTAGGACAGAGTCCCATCGTGTCCTATCCAGACACCCAAAACAATCTTTTTTATTTTAACAGACATTAAAAGTACACGTACACACACACACACACACACACACACACACACATCTTTAAAACATCTTAAGTGTATAAAGTGAAAAACAAGCCACCCACTAGAAGGAACTCTCATTAGCAGAATCTACTGTGTTCCAGAAATGTCTTATGTATTCAATAAAATGATTCATGAATTACTGTGGAAAATATTTATCAAACACATCCTATGCACCTGCCAGAGTTCTAAGCACTTTTCATGTACTGATTCACTTAAAACAACCATCCTAGGAGGTATGTTTATTATTTATCCCATTTAAGATAAAGCAGAATGCTAAATATATACAGCTAGTAAGTAATGAAATCAAAATTTCTATCCAGACCATCTGTTTCTAAGGCTCTTAGCCAGCATATTATCTTGCTTCGCAGGTGTGTGTGTGTGTGTGTGTGTGTGTGTGTGTGTGTGTGTGTGGTGTGTGTCTGTCTGTCTGTCTATCTGCTAGTATTGTTTTTTTTAAATGAAGGTAACAGTCTACCCATTATTGCAGAGACTGCTTTTCCACTTAATGTGTCCTGAGGAATATCCCACACCAGCACAGAGACAGCTGTCTGAAAGATCTTAAGGCTAGAGAATACTGTTTAGTGTTGAAGCTGCTCTCCTAGTGGTGGTAATTTCGGTTGTTTCCAAGCCTTTTCTATTATAAACAACACTGCAGTGAATATCCTTATGTGTATATGTGCATATATATTTGTATACATATATAAATGTGTATATGTGTACATAATATATATAGCACAGAGTATGATAGCTGTGCAAACTGTCTTAGAAACAAATTCCCAGGTCAAGGCAACTGCAGAGCCTCCCAGTTGTTCTTTCTGTGTCCACCTCTCCCCAGCCCACACTCATTCCACACCACTACCAAGGCCGGTTACTTTACATCCAGTCACACCACTCTTCAACTTTAACACTTTGGTCAGGGGCACAAGGTCCCCTTCTTCAGCTGGGCCCAGAGACCCCTTGTAGGCAGATGGAGTCCTGTGCTTCCTCGCCTACCTCTGCCCTGTGAGGTCTCTGTCTTCACACTGTGCATCTGCACTTCCGTTTCCTCAGCCTGGACGCTCAACAGATTGTGCAGCTACTCCTTCCTGGAGCGAGGATGAGGCTCCTGAGACTTAGGCAGAACATTCAGAAAGTTTAAGACTCATGAGGATGCCCCTCAAAGTTATTTACACAGTGATCAATTACAAGGAGAAGGGAGACATTTGGGTGGAGCTGCTTGCAGGCTGCGCAGGGAGCTCCAGGAACACAGATTTTGTGTGCTGTCACCTGTGCTGGGGTGGGCTTTTCAGTGGGGCAGCTGCCTTTGTGTCACCCGTGCTCCTGTAAGCAGCCCCTCGTAATGCTCCCCTAAGGAACCCAACAAATACCTTTGTGCAACACTCTAGATTTGAGGGGAAGTACTTAAGTCTGTCTTCAATGCACTGTCTAGGGTGAACATTTTCTCCTGTCTCCCCAGGAAAAGTCACACAACACAGCGTCCCTCTTCCACTCACTGTCAGCGCCCCTGCCCCATGAAGCCTTCGCCTCCCTCTACTGAGCTCCCTTCAGTCCAGGCAAACAACGACTGATACGCACTTCTCACTGAAAACTCAGTGCTTCGCTGGTGGCTCTCTGAGAGACTGTGAATTCTTTTCATTTTGCTGTCTTTATATCCTGAGCTTGGAACCCACCAAATATTACAGGATCAATTTTGAAAAAAGGCTGAATACATGAATAAAGTTGGAAAAATGTAATACTCTGATTTTTCTGGGAAGCAAATTCATCTTAGCAGAGCTGATTTGTGCCGCTGATTCTGAATGGTTCCCTGAGGGGAAGGTGAGCGAATGTCTCAGCCATAATCACAAGTTGGGAAATTACAAAACTCACACACGGAAAGAGATGTCTCATAACACTGTGGGCAACTGCCAAAGGAAGAAAGGGGAAAAGCAAGGCTTCAGTTACACTGACAGTTAACACTGACCTACGTGTACCAACCAACTTGCAAGACATTTTATCAGCTCACGGGTGAATGACGTAAAAATAACCAGCGTTATTAATGAAGTGTTCTATCTGCTCTTTTCCCCTAAGCTGGACTTTGTTTCCTCTACTTAAATATTTCTCAGGGATAAAACTCTTTTGTCAGAAATCTGGGACTCTAAATGGCAGCTTTTATCAGCCCTGATGTCCCATACAAGGGTTGCAGGACAAGGTTGTGACTTCCCGTTGGGTGAGACAAGGAAGCAGGCACCTTACTTCTGCCCTTTCCCTCACTGGGCTCCCCTAGCTCCATCCCCTCCCCCACCAAACAGAAAACCTAAAATGATCTAATCCTTTTAACTTATGATTGACTGACTGATTGAACTTTAATTAAAATTTGTTCACACTGAAATGTTATCTCAGCTAGAACCTCAAGCTTTATAATTATGGAATTAAAAGCTTTCTCCCTGTTTAAATAAATCTTCAGGCATCGGTAAACAAATGAATAAATATTGGGGGAGGAAAGTGGAGGAACCCCTTGAAATCATAGTAAGTCTGCATGGTTGGGCAGAAGGCAGTCCACGTTCATCTGTCTCTGAGGCTCCTGGGAGGTAGGGACATTGTCCCTCCTCACCAAGCTGTTCTCCATGGCTGGGAAGGATAAGCCTCATGAGTCTGAGGGGGCAATCAGTAAGAACAGTAGTAATGCCCTTCCCCTACCCCAGTCTGTCCTCACAGGGGCAAGCAGAGGCAAGTGGGTACCAAAGCCACACAGCTGATAAGTGGCTACAGCCAGGCTCACCCCACAGGTGTGACTCTACGGCCACTGTCTATCCTCTGTGTCACTAGTTTCTTCCAGCAACAAATGCCTTCCCTGGACTTAGTGGGCTCTCATCTAGGGGAATTCCCTTCGTGCTGCCATTTGCAGATATTTGCTTAATATTTAATGTTTTCTACCACACTTCCTAGGCCTGATCCACTCATTTCACACTAAAACTTTGCCTCTTATACAGTTTCAACCTGTAGCTGCTGGTGTATCACTTGAACACAACCATTTGGGAGAGTGGTTAGTATATGTAAGTCTATTCTCCTTAGTCTGAGGTACAGATTCTTTTCTTTTAGGTAAAGGCCCAACTAATGCCAAAGGCCTCTCACATGCACACACAGCTACTATCTTCCTGCAGGTGTTCCCAGCATCTACTATTGCAAGCTCTGAATCGCTTGGATACCAGGGAGAGAGCACTTGTTAATGCATCACCCTCATGGGAACATGCATTCCAGTAATTTTTAAACAGCAGACATACAAATAATTGTCAAAGAGGAAAATAAGTTAGATTCAAGGTAGGGCTGGGGAGACAGTGGCAGTGATTAAGAGAGCTGACTGCACTTGCAGAGGACCCAGATTCTGTTCCAAAACACACATGGAAGCTCACAACCACCTGTAACGCTAGTTCTAGGGGATCCAAACCCTCTTCCTGACCTCCATGGGTTCCTGAATGCATGTAGTGCACATAAACTCATGCAGATGCAGGCACACACACACACACACACACACACACACACACACACACAAGAATAAATAAATCTTTTTTAAAACCTTAAAAATTAAATTCAAGAAAATACAGTTATTAAACAATGACTAGATTCTTATATCGTTTAATCAGGCCTACTACATTATCACAAACGGGTTCTAAACAGCAAAATTTCATCCTTAACTTGCTAAATAAAATCATTGCAAGAAGGGAAAAATAAAAATAAGACCGCCCCTCTTTTGCTCTTTACAGAGCACCTCGCTCCTGTTAGGTAAACTGATATACCCCTAACCTTCACCTGCCTTACTGTCCTGTTGCAGTATATACAAGCATTCACAAAGCACCTTTAAGGTTCTCACCTGTGAACGGAGTGCTCTGAGTCCTCACGGGAAGGTGACTGGCAAAGGCAGTGTCCTCTCTGACCCCGAACGGGGAAGGCACAGTCTCCACGGCGGGAGCTGCTGCCATGAGGGAGTCGAAGTCCTCCTCCTCCTCCTCTCCTGCGTCCTTCTCCCCCTCTTCTCCCCTGCTCTCTTCTTTCCTTTCTTCCTTGCTTGTGAGAAGCAAGAGGTCAGGCATGGGGATGCTCTGTTCCATCAGGCCCTCAGTTCCAGAATCCAGCTCTTGAATGATTTGGTCATACTGGGCAATGAAATCTTCACTCTCTGGGTTTGCGATGGGCAGGTCTGACTGGGGCTCTTCCTCAGGCATAGGGACTTCAAACTCTGAGTTTGATTCCAGGACTATTTCAGGTTCATGCTCTTGCTTGGCTTTCTTGGATCTGTTCTGACATAGGTATGAACTGTCCCTGCTTGGCTGCAACCCTGCCTCTGGATGGGTGCCGAAAACAGGGCCATTGCTCATGGGTGGACCCTGAGCCTCAGGCTGGGCCTCTGACTGAGCCTCAGGCTGGGCCTCAGCTGGTGAGACTGTGGCTTGCTCCTGTGGCTCCCTGGCCTGTTCTGAGTCTTTCTCAGCACACAGCCTGTACACCATCACATCATCCTGGAAGTCTGACTCCTCGATATAGGAGCCTTTGAAGAGAAGGATGGCATTCTTCTTCATCTCTTGGATGTGTCTGGGAGGATCAACAGGTGCTGGGGGTGCTGGAGTTTCCAGATCATCATAAGGCCCAGGGGAGCCCACATCAGCCCCTGAGGAGATCCCAGTGTCATAGCTGTCATCCCATTCCAGCTCCGTCTGGTTCTTGTCCTTTGTCTGCCTTACTATCCTTGTGTGCTGTTGTGGGAGTCTGTTCTCAGGGTGGGCTGCGCTTTCTCGGCTCTCCTCTGTTTGACTTTGCAGAAAGGTCTCAGGGTCTGGAAAGTCCCCATCATAGAGGGCTGACCACACCCTGCAGTCCCTCATGCATCGGAGGATGTTGGTGTGGGCCTCCCAGAGGTACTGAAGATAGCTAATGTCCAGGGCTTTCCCATACTCTACAATGCAGGGTGCTGGGGAGGGTGGCAATGGTGAAGAGGGCACTTCGGGTAGCAGCTGTTCCTCAGGCCCTGCACAGGAAGATAAGTTAGGAAAAGAAGTTGGGACTAATGCATATGGGGATTTGGAAACACTTTAGGTCTAGTAATGGCTAAGTTAGTTCTGAATAATAAAAAAGTAATTCAATTTTAAAAAGGAGAGATAGTGCTACACTTAAAGAAAATATAAAATCAAAATGGCCAGATGGCAGCTATAGCCAACAAAAAACTTTTATGTGATACTGTTAGGTAGCTAGACAGAGATTAGTGGTCTTAGAGGCCAATGAGGATGGGTCTTCCCTCATGGTCAGCCTTGGAGTCCACCTCCCATTCCCCTGCTAATACTAGAAAGGTAAAATCAACTCGCTCTCTCCTTAGGCCTCCTGTTCAAAATAATGGAATACTTCTGGCCCTGGGTAGAGACATGACATTCTGATGTGCTCCAAAGATCAGAACATTACACGCTATTGTCTCTTCCCTTAAGAGTTAATCCAGCTGGGCCTGTCAGCTGACCCGAAGTGTGCCCCACCAGAAAGCTGATTCACCTGAAGACAAGCTAAGGAGTAATTACCTTTAATAGGATAAGGCACTTCCCCTTCCCCCACTCCCCTCTCCCGGGCAGCCACTGTCCGAGCCTCCACCCCCATGTTGCTTACCTGTTTTTCTGAGTTACTCAGAAAACAGTTACTTTCCCTTTTCTTTTCTCTTTTTCTTTTAGATACTATCTAAAAGCCTAAGAAGCATGCTTTCTCTGGTCTGGGTTTATTTGCTGTTTCTCTAAAACACCCCCAATGTGTGCCATGGGCTGTGAGCTGGCCTGTATTGCTCAGCCTGACCATTTTCTTGGACCCTACCTTAAAGGGCATGAGGCATGGCTTTCTCTCTGCCCAGAAGATGCTGAGATTTATAGCTTGTTTGCCTTGGTGTTTTCTCTCAAATTTTAATGAAATTGTCCTCAAGCTTCTTTCTGAGTCTACTTCTAAATTCTTCTATTAACAAGACTAAGAACCCAAAAACAAGGAACCCCAATTTCCCCAGTAACAATATTAGTTTCAGAGAAATAAGAGCTAATCAGGGCCACTTCCTTGGTGACAAGATTATATAGATAATGTACCTAATGAGGTGCCTGCCACAGAGTATTACAGTATTTTGGTTCTAAAGTAGAAGGCTGATAACCTATAAATATTAGGACCAAATTTTCTGGTAGAAAAACCCTGGGTCTCTAAAAAAAAAAAAAAGCCAATTAACACATTCTGCCTTCTTGCCAACAGCCAAGATGTTGACATGTACCAAATAGTCTCCTTAAGCCAAGTCACATTCAAATCAAAACAGTCATTTGAACCCAAGCAGTGTCCTATGATAGCAGATAACTGGTTTTCATGGTACAAGTTCCAACACTGTTACTGAAATAGTTGTGAAAACATGTTCATTTAATTTTGCAATTTCCCTCAAAGGAAATTTTTAGAAGACTCAGACAAGGAGAAATATGCTTCTACCATTCGTTAAACACCTAGACTGTTGTGAGTGCTGTACCACTGGTGTGGGAGTTAATGGTCCTATATGGTAGATGCTATTTTCCCCACTTGCTCACAAATGAAGAATATCCACTCCCCAGGTGTGGTAGGGCCATGGATGGCCCAGGTGCTGGTCTCCTCCAGACGCTCTCCTCATTTCAATGCTGTACCTAGCTAAGCGTCACATTCCTTTGTGATAGAATCTCTACCAGACTGGGTCAGCTTGAGCCTTTAAAAGTACATACTCAGCCCACTGTTTACCACTCTGCTGTCAGAAGGTGTTTATTTCTTACCTATTTTAAATAAAAATACATCAAAACTACTTCTAGAAATAGTTACTGAGTGGTTGCTACATAGCAAGCAGTCTTCTAAGAAGCCTTGTTGAGTCTGAACTCAACTTATCCTTAGAACAACCTTTTACAGTAGGTACTGTTGTAAGATAAGGGGAAAGGTTTGGAATGATTAAGAATTTTGCCCCCAAAGGTGGTAGAGCCAAGATCAAATCCTAACCGTTAACCAGTGTGCAATAACTCTGCTAGCTAGTTATGTAATCCATCTATTAGGGTTAGGTATCTGCTGTCACTTCAGAGGCAGGATATAGAACAAACATGGAATGCAGGACCAGAGAATCTGCCAGTTACATAATCGTGATTGAGGCAATTCCTCTCCCTGAGTTTGTTTCTCCATCTGTAAAATGAGAATAGTACGTTCTTCACATCCTTAAATGTGATCACATACAGAAAGGGGTTGGCAAGTTTTGGAAAATCATGTTTAATCTGAATTTGGAATTCTGAGGCAAGTTTAGCCACAGAATCGTTCTTTTTGGAAAATAATTTTATTATATTGGGTTACATACAGCCATCACAAAATGGTCTTGAAACAGCTTTCAGAGTAAAATTTAAAGGATACCAATTTTCAAATATGGTCTTAAAAATAACTTTCAAATGAGAAAATATAAGATACCAAACTAGTTCACCCAATAGGAAAATATATTCAAAACACAACCACATAAATTGTTAATTTCCATTCATACACTATATTTTTATTTAAGAACCAAGAGCCCATAAAATGACCTTCATTTCTAAAAATCTACATTTCTATCAAATATGCTGCTATCCTCTTAGTCAAGTATCCCAGCTCTTAAACACATTCCAAAAATCTAAGCGGGCTGTGGCTGGGTGGTCAGAATGGTGTTACTGAAGGGGACAGTAGAATACTCACTAGAAACACTCCAGTTGACACAGGACTGAACTGGCGTCTAGTAGTCACAGGACAGGTAGAATGTGTCTCAACATAAAAGGCCTTATGCTCACAGATATACAAATATTTGCCCCCTTCCTCCAACTGCTCCCTGAGGAGTTGACAGAGTAGTCGTTTACATTTTACTTGTTCTGGGTAAGTTACAACTGGCAAAGAGTTTGTATTAGAACTCGTAAAAATAGAGTATTTACGAATCCCCCCAACTGTGCCAATCAAATGAATCAGATAATGCTGCTGTATCACCAGTTTCAAGTTTTATAATATTAGTGACAGGTAGACAATTCACAAATGGGTCATTTTGGAAATTAAAATAAACAGTTCTATCTTAACTCTAGCCTCAACACCTGTAACTCTTAATCTGTTTTAGAAAGCAGGTTAGCCAGGTGTAGTGGTGCATGCCTTTAATCCCAGCACTTGGGAGGCAGAGGCAGAGACAGGCAGATCTCTGTGAGTTCAAGACCAGCCTGGTCTACACAATGAGTTCCAGGACAGCTGGGGCTACAGGGAGACCCTGTCTCAAAAAGACGATGAGAAAAAAAAAAAGAAAGAAGGTTAGTACATGTTTTCACACCCAGACACGGACAGAGCTAAAAAGGCCACGTAAAATAAAGGCCTGTGATAAATTACTAGGTGCCCCGGCTGGTTGCTTCAGTGGCCACTGACTAGTGTCCATAAATCCTTATGAAGCACAAAAAGACCCCACCTGCTCAATCACTAAAGAAATTGGACTCTAAATTATTCTGTCTGCCCCCAAGAGACCCAAGTTCCCAGGAGAGAGAGATTCAGCATCCAGGATTAAAGATCATCCCTAACACATTCCCACCTGAAGCATCATGGGTACACTTTGACCAGAGAATATAGTCCCTCTCTTGGTTCCCAAGTGTCAGAGTGATGCCACTGGCACAGCAGACAGGGGTCAAGGCAAGCAGCTTGGCTGCGGATACGGAGTAGCAGTCTCGCTCCTTCACAGCCCACCTCTGACTCAGCATCATGTGATTGCAGGGGATCAGATACCTGAAATGACAAGAGTCAGCATTCAATCTCTGCAGTGCCCTAAACCGTTACCAGAGATGACACTACTAAGCATAATTGGAACTAGTGATCGGGGATGGATTCATCCTCTCCACAGTCTCAGGCCACCCAGCACAGTGGCCACTGTAGTCATCCACTCCCTTGCTTAAAAGTCCTCTGAGGGCTTCTCCCTTCTGACAGAACTGCCCTCTGCTGAACAGTTCTAGTCCTTCTCAGCTGAATTCCCATGACCTTCCTTGTGTCTCCATGTCTCTCTTTACCTCTGTGCCTTTAAACCCACTGTGATCTTCACCTGGAGTGAGCCTCCCTCTTTTCTGCGCAGCAATTCCCATCCTACAAAGTTCCAGCTATAGTGCCACCTTCTCTGGGAAGACATCCCAGCTCCCTGCCCCAAGGCAGACTCTTCTCTCACTCCACTGTGTATACATGGAAGCACCATTAACCGTGCATTCTAAGAATTTCTGTCCCTTCTTCAATATATGTGCTACCAGAACAGGGACTGCTTTGATAGTTTTGTCTTATGATCCCTGAAACTTCAACTCCTGGTAGGTACTATATGAAGATGGCAAAAACCATTCCACACTATGCTCCTTACGTTCTTCTGGGTGATCAGGAGTGAAAATGGTGTCTAATGACTCAGTAGGACACACTGCACAGGTTGACTAGTGACTGAAAGCATCTAGTGTTATTATGAACGTGGGCAGAGGAAATCTAGGAAAGTGTTTCTGACGCACCTGAGTACATTAGTGAGTTTTGTGGGAAGAATGAGTGTGTTTAGTGGCTGGCTGTCTTAAGAGGGAAACACTACAGCAGTTATTTAAACAAGGATGGAGCAAGTGGGACAAAGGACCTGAAGCCAGAGTCAATTCCACAGCAGCCTCAGCCCCCGTGTGAGCAACTCCAACCTTTCAATAAACCAGAACGTGTTTCCCTTCCAAATTCTGCTTCTGAAAAAGGCAGCACAAAGGAAAACAAGCCGTGATTAAGGTTCCTGTGGAAAAGATGAAAAGCACAGCTTGCAGGCCACGTCTTGGGGCCTGTAAACATCAAGCCATCCCCCACAGCTCCCATTGATCCAGTGAGGAGAACCCAAGTTTATAATAATGACCTATGCTGCAGAAGCCTGAGTCACAAAGGGAAATATTCAGTTCCCTTGATCATTCTAAGTGAATACTTCAAGAATGCTTGAAACGACAAACTCGCCACTGAAACTTAGTCCTCCCTCCCTGAATCAAGCAATCTCTAAAGTTCTAGCATAGTTATGTAAGAGGGTCATGTCCTTTCACCTCTGTCCTCTACCCTCCTGGGCACATATACACTGCTGTCACTAAGAACCAGACACAGCCCATCATTCACCTCTGATATGGTGGCATCTACTTTCATAAGTTGTTCTTCAAAGAGGAGCAGTGGAGGAGGAAATACAGAGAAGGAGGTTTGTTCCAATGCCTAGGAACCTGAACCTGAATCTGATCCTTACAGGAGAATGGATGGGTGGTGTGGGCAGAACATGAAGGCATTCTCTCCCATATGGACTTCTGTGAGCTGAGATGCCTTGGTAACCAAGAATGACACAGGGGAGAGAAGCAATTCCTACCTCTGCCTGAACATAGCTCAGCTAAAACTCAGAGGGCACCATAGAAAACCAGGCTGACCTCAGGGCAGTCAAGGATGGGGGACAACTGGGGACGGCAGGGGAAGGCAGCAGGGGTGAGAGGTAATTGGGGCTGGAAGACAGCAGGGACCAAGGTAAGACAGATTCCAGAAAGAGGGCCAGAGTGGGTGAAGAGACCACAGTAGACACCACAATGGTAACAGTGGTGGGAGAAACACCTGTTCATGATACATGTAAGAATCCTCACTGGGGACACCGGGAAGCAATGGGTGCTGCTTTGCAGGGTCAAGACCAGATATGATGTGGCCAGGGTGATAGTGGGAAACTTGTCCTATGATTATAGATGTGAATTATTCTTTTCTCAGAAGCTGGTAAGGCCTAGGGAAATGCAGATTATACAAGAGTTATTTTATCCTTATTTGGACTGTTAATTATTCATGGAATCAACAGCTCTGGTGTTTTTATAAACTGTAGGAACGTGATGCCTGCTTGCAGCTCAAACCAATCATATTTCATGATTTAAACTGATATACATATACTTCTACTCTTTGTTTGAAGTATTTAAAAAATGGAACACTGGATCAAAGCTAATAAAGCTATTTATCAAATACCACCAGTGAATAGCTTGAAATTATTTTAGAAGAAAGAATTATTGGCAATTTGCAACTTTGAAAATACCCTCTCTCAGCAGAATCTAAGACTTTTCTTCTGAATAAATCGAATGAAGGGAGATCCCTGAAAGTTAAAGCAGAGATGCTACGAAACAGAAACAGGCAAGTTCATTCCAGTGAGGGACCTGCCTAGGATTCCAGACGGTTGCTCCATCGAGTTTTTAGTGAAGGTTCATCACAAATGAAAGGGCAGACACACCACACCTCACTCGGTTTCTGTCTTTTTGAGGGAATAATTAGGGCAAAACAAATGCTCCCCAAATAGCAATATCAAAATAAAGTGGTTGTCAATAGTAGAAAAATCATGTAAACATTTAGTATAGGCATTTATCATTAAGCCATCTTTTATTTAATATTCATTTTGTTTTAAGATTTTATTTAAGGGGTTACAGAGATGGCTCAGTGGTTCAGAGTACTGGATGCCCTTGCAGAGCCCCTGGGTTCAATTCTCAGCACCCACATGGCAGCTAACAGCTGTCTGGAACTCCAGTTCCCAAGGAATCTAATGCCTCCTGACGTCCACAGTTGTTGTAGAACATGGGTACACTTACATACATGCAGGCTACACACACACACACACACACACACATTAAAATATCTCGGTACTGGAGAGATGGCTCAGCAGTTAAGAACACTGGTTGTTCTTGCAGAAGACCTGGGTTCGAATCTCAGCCACCCACATGGCAACTTACAACTGTAACTCCAGTTCCAGGGGATCCAACCACCTCTTCTGACCTCCGCAGGCATTGCATGACACAGGTGCACTTATCTACATGTAGGCAATACATGCATACAAATAAAATAAAAAAATATATTTTTTAAAGTAGCAAATTTGTAAAAGATTGTCTTTAAAACCAGAAAGCAAAAATGATTATGGACTAATGTCATTTACTTATTTTTAAAATTTTATTTATTGAAGTGAGGTCTTGCTGTTTCTCAGACTGGCCTCAAACTCACTATGTAGCCTAGTCTGGCCTCAAATTTGTTATCCTCCTGTCTCAGCTTCCTGAGTACTAAGGTTACAGGTCTGCACCACCACACACAGCTCAGAGACTAATAAATACTAACTTTAAATATCCAAATTACTTAAGGCAGTCCCCCCAACATATCAGGAAAAAATACTGCCCATATTATCCCCGTCCCACATTTTCATCACCTCCCCAACCTTCTACAAGCCTTTCCTATACACGACTTGTTAAAATGAGCCAGCCTTTCTGCAACTCTTCAGTGACCAGCAATTGATGACAAAGCACACACACTGCTTATTGCTACACTGCCAAGGAAGACAACCAAAACAGAAAGCAAACTATGTCAGAGCTGAGGCCTCCAACGGTGGACCAATAGGCAGAAATCCACAAAGCACCACCAGTGAGCTTCAAAAAGGCCTTTCCCTGTTCACCAACATCCTGGCTATATTCTCCGATCCATTTCCCCCTGGGCTGGCTGCCCCCTCCAAGAGCCCTCCAACTCATATGCAAGACAGAGTGTTGAAATGGACACATAGCTTCTCTTCAAGTAAAACCACCTCTCCCTAAGCATAACAGGAAACTCACTTTACAACTCTGACAAAAACACCCTGACCAGGGACATTCAGAAATGACAACCAAGAAATTAAACAATGCAGCTTCACCTAGACTGGGATGCTCTAGGAGCATGTAGATTTGTCACATCACTGCCTGTTGGCATTTCCTGCCTGTCCTTGGCCTGTCATAGTCACAGGCATGAGAGGTGGGCAATTTCTCCCGGGTTTCCTGCCCACTAGCATATCATCTCTTTGGGGATATCATATTTCAACTTATTCTTCTGATATTTTGCCAAAGGAAAGAATCATATCAATTATAGACAGAATACCACTTTGGAGCGTCAATATTTAAGAGCATTTGAGTTACAACAGAAATTGAGATATGGTCATTATTTATTTATCACATAACAACTTCATTAGGAAGGACCCACACCACCTATAGGGCTGTATAGACCTACAAGTCTATCATGCACGTTCAAACGACTTCAGGGGTGACTGAAACAAAAGGATGGATTATAAGTCTATGTTTTATATTGTTTAAAATAAAGTTTAAATGACTAGAAGAATAAAGATTTTTCATTGTCCTTATATCAGGGACAGATTCAAGGTCAAAAAAGACATTGTAAAAATAAAGGACAGATAATAAGAGAGGTTATGAAGACATGAAGTGAGGAGGAGCGGTGGAGGGGCTGGGGAGGGCTGGGGAGGGCAGGGGGTCTGAATGTGATCAAAGTACATTGTATGACGTTCTGGAATCAATAAAAATATTTTTAAAGACATTATTTTTATGAATTTAAAATATATTTTCTAGAAAATTGCCTTCCTTAAATGTGTATAATACTCTGTATCATTTTACAATGCTTTTCAGATAGCATCATAGTTGGCCCTCTCAATAACCGGGAGGCAGTCCCTTCTGCGTCTTCTCGGTAGCTCCCCTCTTGGATTTTCCTAGAAAGTACAGTAGAGTTGGAAATAGAGGAAGTATTCAATAAAGAGCAACTATACTGTTGTACTAGCAGCAACATCCTCATGAAAGAAAGAAGCAGTCAGCCAGAGAGCCAAGGCCTGTCAAGTCCTCCTCTAACCTCAGGCCTGGCACTTCCCCCATTACTCCATTCAGAACCTGTGACAGCATCCCTTGCAGCACTTCCTGGGATATCACAATAATCACTAGACCTGACTTGGACATGTATACAGTCAAACATGAGCTGATTTCTCCATCTTTGTAAAGTATAGGTCTGGCTCTTAGAAGTAGCCATGGTTACCACCACTTCTGAGGACAGATTTGAATATTGTGAGCAGACAAAAAGTGATCAGCGTTCACCTTGTAAGGTCACCAAATGGCTAGTATACAGCCTTACAACCCCTGATACAATGTGTAAATTCCAGAAGAACCACAGCCTCATTAGGGAAAATCATAAATCCCGTAAGTGTCTAACTGGCCCTAAATTGAAAGCTTAGTCTTGCTCAAGCCTCACCAACTGGCCACTCCCTGGACAAAAAGAGATGGTTCATGGAGCCAAACTGTCTCCCCTTTAGTGCCCTAAGATAAATCACCTGCCTGAGAAAATAATCTTGGGAGAGAGACCCTCAAGGACACTAGACCCTGGCACAGAGTTAACTTGCCAATGTATGCAACAGATTTCCTACATAAATCCAACTGGCCCACTTTTCTTTGCAGATACCTGTTTTCTGTGGACGGTTTCAGCCCTTTGCTGTGCTCCTTGAGTAAAGGAACACATTCCTTGCCTGTGGCAGGTCTGGCTCCTTCCTTTTTCTGATCTCCTAAATCTGACAAACCCTGGGCTAGGCAGACCCTGGTGGCCCCCAGTGGGAAAACGATGCATCTTTGACCTTGGTCTCAGTAACTTCAGATTACCAAAAGTGCAGCTGCCGTCGTGAGACAGCATTTAGGGATTTAAAGTGCAACCAAGTTTTCCCACCTTGGAGTAAGAGCCTGGTTCTGGGCAGTAAAAAAGACTTTTCCAGGTTGTTTTTCTGGATTTCATTCAGGCCTTGCTAATGCATTCTGTCCTGTCAGTAGTAGAGACTTGATTAGGAGCTCAAGTAATCCTTTTAGAACAGACTACCTGCTTTTTTATGATCAGATTTGTTCTCTGCTAATGCCATAAGATTAGTTACTGATGGGTTGATCTAAACCCTAAAAAGTGAAAAACACTTTTTCTAAATTTAAAAATCAAATAAATAATGGTCTCCCATTTGTAAGGCCTCCACAATATTCCAGTGAGGTTTTTGAGACTCCATTTTAATTGCTCCCTTTCATGAGGTGCTAGGCACACACTGTACTAGATCTCTAGCCAGAGGTGCTCCAACTTGGCCGTACATCAGGACGCTCTGAAGAGTAAGTTAAAACACAGGTCACAGGCCCCACCACCAGCGTTTCCTGTTCACAAGATTTTGGGGGGAATCTATATTTCTGTTCAGTCCCAGGAAATGACCATTCTCAGAATGGCACTTTGACACCCCCTCTTTGACAATCCTTTATCTTTCTAGAGCTACCTGTCATTTCAGTAATCCTAGATTCTCCTCAGTAATCAATCTCTCTCTGTCTCTCTGTCCGTCTCTCTCTGTCTCTCTCTCTCTCTCTCTCTCTCTCTCTGCATGAGGAGGCTAGAAGTCACCCTTAGTTATCATTCAGTTATCATTCCTCAGGTGCCCAATTACCTTGTATCTGCTTATATTTTGGGTGTTTTTTGTTTTGCTTTGCATTGTTTTTTGAGACAAGGCTTCTCACTGGCCTGGGACTGGCACTTGTGGATTACACTTAGCTGGCTGGCCAGTGAGCTCCAGGAATCCACCTGTCTCTGCCTCCCCAACACTGGAATTACAAGCACATGCCACCACACCTAGCTGTTTTTTAATGGGTTCCAGGGATCAAAATCAGGATCTCATGCTTACATAGCAACATTTTACTGAATAAGCTAGTTCTTCAGTCCCTCCTCAGTAATTTCTGCTCAAATCATATTAAAACCCAGAGATGGACTCAGGAAAGTCTGGCCCCCCTCTATCCCTGTGCTCAGTTTCACTTGTCCTGATTCCTGCTGAGGATGGAGAGCAGTGCACCCTTGGAGATAAGAACTGACTCTCTTATCCTACAACTGCTGGTTACCTCCCCGCTACAGCAGAGCTTCTAGGCTGGACCTGCATGACTCTACTATCAGAGCTTCCCACCCCACAGCTCCCTACCCTACAAAAAAAAGCCTAGTTCTGGGTCTACTTCACAAGCTTACTTCAAGAGAAAAATGACAGAATAAATACATACATGCATCTCTATGGAAAACACATTTATTTATAGTTTCTGCCAGTCTGTCTCTGCTTTGGCCACAACAATATTACTGAGAAAAGGGGTAGATCATCTTGCCCCCAGCATGGTCCTTCCTGCAGGGATCCTTAGGTCCCTTTCTACTCTGCAATGTCACTTCCTATAGTGTTGGGGTGGGTCTCACTGGAAGAGCAGATTCCAAGACTCAGGATTTAGGTTTAATGAAAAGGAGCACAGATATGCACTGTGGACTAGCCTGACACTTCCAGAGTTCTGCACTGGGATTCAGGGCCAAATAGTATGCTAACAACGAAGCATCATTACTTCCTTTCACAAAAGCAGGGGTTTCCTCTGGGACACGGAGAAGAGGAGCCATGGCAGACCACAGCACGACTGGCGGCTGCTAGGTCTGCTATCTAATTACCAAATTCAGATCATCTTAACAGCACTCCAATTTCCATCTTCAAATACTGGCCGCTTCAGAACTTTCCTACCTTATTAAAGGACACAGCTTTGCCACCTGTACGGAGTCCTGACCATCTGCTCCGTGCTCCTCTCCCGTTTGAACAGCACACTGAGTGCACTCCTTAAGTATTTACTGGCTTTAATTGAAGCACACAGATTGGACAGTACATACCGTAGTACTACTAATTGCTAAGTTAGATAGATAGAAGATAGATAGATGATAGATAGATAGATGATAGATAGATAATGATAGATGATAGATAGATAGATGATAGATAGATGATAGATATAGATAGATAATAGATAGATAGATAGACAGATAGATAGATAGATGATAGATAGATAGATGATGATAGATAGATGATAGATGATAGATAGATAGATAGATAGATAGATAGAGACAGATGATTGATAGATGATATATATATATTCACCACTATTTTATATTTGGAAAAGTTGTTTTTAATAACAAAGAGTCCCTTGTAAATGCACCTCAGGAGACTGAGTTCACTCTCAACCCCAAAGAGCTTTAATAATATTTGCAAAATTTTCCAACATTCTAGTTATTGTTTCCAGGAATGTATTCATAAGATAATACAAATGCCTCCACTAAAAAATTTTCATAACAAAACAAAATTAACTTTAGGAAATAACACAAAAAATTAAATTGATTCTTTTAATAACTTTTGTCCTCAGAAATATGTTCCCTACTTAGTTTATATTATCACAGTGAAATAAAATAGTGATACTATAGAGTGAAATTTTCTTTAAAGAGAACTAAACAATGGTAACTCACCTTAAAACTAGTTGCAACATCACATCTTCACAATGTAAACCGATAAGAGTTCTGAATAGCGCCAGGGACACCACACAAAGCTGGGAACAATCAACACACATTCTGTTTCAGAGGTTAGATTGGTAACTCTGCTCCCCACAGATGATAAATAAACCAGAATTACAGAACAAAATGGCCTTGTTATCCCTATCTATTTTTATAAAACACACAATGCTGTCAGAAAGAATTCATTCAGGATGTCCAATCTCCTATAGGAAGAGTTGGTTAGAAAGCCAACATCTGCCTAGGAAATGTTTGTATTGTGAACACTGAAAGATCCAGATAAATGCACACATGCCCCCTTCAATTCCCTGATACATACATGATCCTCCCAACTTCCTCTGCAGGTTATCTGCTCTTCTAAGTTGTATTCACAACATGACACTGGTTATTTACATGATATGCTCATAGAAAACTTCATTATGACCTGGCCAGCTCTCTTCAAAGTTTGTAACCCCAAGCCTCAGTTCCTCTTTTGATGGTGGGGCAAATTTTCTCTTTGACTACATTTCCTATAGCACTAAAAGTGTGAAAAATCTCTTTCCCTAAATGTTCACATAAAATTAAACAACATAATTTTTTAAATATTTTATTTTTTATTTGATATGTACGAGTGTATCACCTGCATGCAAGTTAGTGCACCTGTGTAGTGCAATGCGGGCAAAGGTCAGAGGAGGGTGTCAGATTCCTGTGGAACTGGAGTTACAGACAGTTGTTAGCTGCCACGTGGCTGGGAATTGAACCAGCTCTGCAAGAGAAGGCAGTGCTCTTAACCACTGAGCCATCTCTCCAGCCTCCAAAATAAAATAAATTTTAACAAACACATGAATTCTTTCAACCTCTGATTTCCAAAATGGAAAGATAAGCTGTCAAATAGGAGAGATAAGGTAATAAAGTATATTATAAAATCACTGTACCCTTTTAAGAGTAAGCTTTTATCAATCTACCAGGCCATTTAAGTAATTTGGACTCCTGTTCTTTGTAGAGGGGAGTAAGTGCTAGTTTGTCTTCTAGGAGGAATGAACTTAAAACCTGTTGATGAAATCCACAAAGGCGTTGTAAAGAAATAGCTGAACTTTTCACCTGCCCCAAACATCTCCTTTGCTTAGGACAGGTCATATACTTGCAGAAGCAACACACTCTGTTCTATTCCAAGTTACATATGCTGTGCCTTTACCTGCAATGCCTTTTCCTGCCTCCTCAGTGACTTAGCTTAACATCACCTCCCCCTGGGAAACCTCTCTGTTCTTTCTCACAATACATTCACTGAACACCTCCTTTTCTAGTCTCAATTAGGTATCCTTCTTATCTATTGCCATAGTAACCCTTGCACATCACTGTCAAGGGGGCTCAGCAGGGTGTATGTTTCTTTTTATAACCGAATTGTAGGAGTTCTTTATTCTATGTACAGATATTTTATCAGATATATGCTTTAAAAATTTCTAAGCATTTTGAGGATTATCTTTTCAACTTTTAAAATTTTGCTTTATTTATTTAAAATCATTTATTCTTATTCTTATTAGTGTGTGTATGCATGCGTGTGTGGTACATGTGTGCTCTCATGATGTATGTGGGCATGCATACCACTGTGGAAGTTAGTTAGAAGACAACTTTGTAGATTTTGTTCTCTCTTTACATGGGTTCCAGGGATTAAACTCAGGTCACCAAGTTGGCACAGCAAGCACTTTACCCACTGAGGCATCTTACTGATCTTTAATTTTTATTTATTTTTCAGATAGGAACTTGCTATATAATCCAGGCTAGCCTCTAAATTGTGATCCTCCTGGATCAGTCTCCAAAATGCTGGGCTCAGAGGCATGCACCACTCACAACACCTAGCTGCCATTTCTTGGTGTCTTTGAAGCCCAAAAGGCCTTTAATTTGAACAAGTTTAGTTTACCTAACTTTTCTTTTGGTGCCCATGATTTGTGTCATGTCTGAGACACACTACCAAGACCATAAAGATCTCCTTCTGTTTTATTTAACGTGCTTTATTTTTATCCCACATGTAGGCCTTTGATCCATTTTGAGTTAATGCTCATCTATGGTGTAAGGAAGGAATTCAATTTCATTCTTTCCTATATTGATATTCAATTGTCTTTTTTCAAGCTTGTTTTGCCTATTCTATATGAATTCTATATGAATTTTAGAATTGGTTCATCAATTTCAATAGAGGTCAGCTAGTTTTATAGGGAATATATTAAATCTGTAGATAATTTGGGGAATATTCTTATATTAACAATATCAAGTCTTCTAGTCTATAAACACAGAATGTTTTTCAAAAATGTTTACAGTTTTACAGTGTAAGTTTTATACTTTTTTTGTGAAATTTATTTCCAGGTTTTATTTTATATTTTATTTTATCTTATTTTATTTTACTTTAACAGGGAAGCCCTGTAGCCCCAGCTGGCCTGGAACTCACTATGTAGACCAGTGTGCACCTTGATCTCACAGAGATCCACCTGCCTCTGCCTCCTGAGTGCTGAGATCAAAGGCATGTGCCACCCACCACACACAGCTTTATATTTTATTATTTTTGATGCTACTGTAAATGTGACTGACATGTTAATTTGTTTTTATATGGCTCACTGTAATAGTATTAATGGTCAACTTGACAGAATTTAGAATCACCTGGGAGATGGGGCTCTGGCTAGGCCCATGGGAAATGATTTTAATTACACTGATTATATGGAAAGAGCCATCTTAATTGTGGAAGGCACAGAAAGGAACACAGCAACATCAGCATTCATCCATTCCTCTCTGTTTTCTGAGTGTGGATGTGATGTGACCAGTTGCTTCAAGGTCCTGCTACCTTGACTTCCCCACCGTGATGCACTGTATGTTGAACTGGGAGCTAAAATAAACCCTTTCTCCTTTAAGTTTTCTTTGCCAGAGAATTTTATCATAGCAACATAAAAGACACTAAAACACTTTTACATAGAAATAAAATTGATTTTGTATTGATCTTATATCTTGCAACCTTACTGAACTCATTATGAGTTCTAATAGCTTACTAGAACATTGGTTTTATTTTTTTTTAATGTAAGATCATGTCATCCACAAATACAGATGGGTTTGATTCTAATCTGGATGGTCTTCTTTCCTTAACAAATTTCCCTGGCTGTAACTTCAAGTACTATGCACTGCACAATTAATGAGTACACTCTTGCTTTATTCCTTGAAAGGAAAGTTCTCTTCATCATTAAATATAATGTTAGCTCTGAGTTTTCACGGATGCCGTATCTCAGACTGAGACCATCTCTACTATCCTTAGTTTGTCGTTCCTGACAACCATCATTCTACTCTGTTTCTGTAAGCTTAACTATTTTTGATACCTACCTCAGCTGAACCGAATCAAGCACTCTGTCATTGGCTTATTTTACTTGTATAATATCCTCAAGGTTCATCCATCTTCTAACATCTCAAAGCAATTTCTCATTTCTCATGTGATTTCTTGTTTGATTTTCTAGTTATTTAGGAATATGTTGTTCAATATCTATATATCTGTAGATTTTCCAAGTTCCTGTCAATATCTTTAAATTTCAATGTACTATATCCAGATCACATACTTTGCATAATTTCAGTCTTTTAAATTCACTGAGCCTTGTAGCTGCCCTAGCAGAGGTCTGTCTTGAAGGATGCTGAGTATGTACCCTGCTACTATCAGGAGCAGTGGTGAGTATATTTTACTAGTATAACATTTTAATTTCTTTATTTTTTTCACATTCTTTTTCTTTTATTGGGACAGAGTCTTGCTATGAAGCCCAAGCCAGTCTCAAATTTGCAGTCCTCCTGCCTCAGCCTGCTAAGTGCTGAGAGCATAGCCATGAGCCGCCGTGCCTGACCCTGACGTGTCCTCTCTCTCTCTCTCTCCCTCTCTCTCTCTCTCTCTCTCTCTCTCTCTCTCTCTCTCTCCCTCCCTCCCTCTCTGACCTATCTATCCATCTACCTCATTCTGCAGATTATATTTATCTTTAACTTAATTACATTTATCTATTTATTGTGTGTACATTATGGGCACATGTAGGGGTCAAAGGACAAGTTCTACCATGTTGGTTCTGGGGACTGAATTCAGGTCATCAGGCTTGGCAGCAAGTGCCTTTTACAATTGAGCCATCTCATAGGCATATATGGAGTCTGGTAAGTTTACTGGAAGACCCAGAGCAACTATTAAGGCTCACGCCTTTAATCCCAGCACTCAGGAGGCAGAGGCAGGCAGATCTCTGTGAGTTCAAGGCCAGCCTGGTCTACATAGTGAGTTCAGGTCAGCTGGGGCTACAGGGAGACCCTATCTCAAAAAGATTTTTCAAAAAAGAAAATTATATACATATATATGTGTATATATATGTGTGTGCATATATATGATTTATATAAATATACATATCATATGGATATATATAATCTATAGAGTTACCAGACTCTACTTCAGATTTATACTAAGTTCCAATAAAATACAGAAATATTATTCCCTCTTCTCCCTCTTTGTGCTATTATTCTTAAACATGCAACATTTACCTATATTACAATTTCAAATATATACTGTTAAATTACCTTTTGCTTTAAAACAGTAGTTGCAATTAGATAGACAAAATCTTTGGAGGGGGTTGTGATGGGTGGCATTAATATTATTTAAAGGATGTCCAAGGTTAAGTCCAAGCAAAAGAATGAACACCTAAATCCACAAGATCCCAGAACAGAGCTCTGATCTTTAATGCTCAAACTGGATTCCTTGGTATTCCTGGCTTCCCCTGCACATAAGTCCTTATGTTCCCCAGAATCTCACCCCCTCAGAAGTGTATTTTGTTAGTTCTACAGAAAAAGTGTTGACACAGACAAATTGAGACTAAAGTCCTTTCAAAAGCAGTGCCACTTTCCTAACAGAAAGACTCCTGATGGAAACAAAAAAGTTATCTAGTGCATCTCTACCAAAAAAGAAAGAAGATAGTGTCTACAAGAGAATAAACAGAAAGGGAGGAGGGAAAGAAAAAAAGGAGAGAGGAAGGGAAAGAAGAAAAATGCATTCCTAATCTCATTCCCCAAACACTCTCTCCTAGAACTGGACATCTCCTTCTTCAGGAACTCTCCTTACCCGAAATGGGGTGTTGATTCTGCTGGTGAGAGTGTCAAGAATGTGGACATTCTCATGTTGGTGCAGGAGGATGAAACGGAGGAAGATCTCCAGGAGTGCTGGCTCAGTGATGCTGCGAAGGAAAAGGTCCAGGTATGCAGTTGTGGTCATCACCTCCTCCACCGTCACCTGGGACAATAACGGGGTGAGCACAGGTGAGCATCTCAACGCTACCGCATGAGCACCCCAACACCCCTGCCTCACCAGAGGGACACCATCAGGAGCACGCCTGCTAGGAAAATGCTTAGGGGCTGAAGCCCCTAAGCTCTCCATGACACACAACACCTCACACTGCATCTGCCCTGCAGCCCAGGAAAGGAAAAGCAAAGGCAGGGAGACACTACCTAAGCACTTTGACAGCTCTAATCAAAGGCAGTAAGAACCCCATAAAAGTTTTCGTATGTACTCAAAAATAGAGGAAAAGATTATGGAAAGTATTTACATGCTTAATAAAGGATTAATTAGAAAGCTTGATAAACTTTTTTATTATTAGCCATTCAAAAAACATTTAATGGGATTCTCTATGTACAAGGAGCTGGAAATGTAAGAACATGTTTTATGTCCAGGAAGATGAGCTGTAGCAAATGAAATGATAATATAACAAATTGCAAAGGAGAGGTACAGACATGAAGTGCTGCAGATGTTCACTCAGATGTGCTTCTGGAGAGCTGCAAGCCATTTTTTTATACCTGAGCACTACACATAAAGCGTTATTTATAAGGTGCTATAAGAACTTACTGCTTAATAAAGCAACTGTGACTTTTTTACAATATAAATTAATATTTTCTACCTATGAGCTTTTCCTATGCACTAAAATGTCAATCTGTCAGTGATTAAGTCTGGAGTCAGGCTTTTTATAGAATTGAAGGCTGAAAGCTTAAAATGTCAAATTTTGAACCAATAACATTTGGGTAAGGGTATGTGTTTGTGTGTGTATGCACGTGGGTAGGGTGTGTTTGTGTGTGTGTGTGTGTGTGTGTGTGTGTGTGTGCACGCACACGCATGTGCAGGCCAGAGGTCAAGATGCAGTGTCTTATTATTCCCTTATTATTAGCCATTCAATAAACATTTAATGAGATCCTCTATGTACAAGGAGCTGGAAACATAAGAACATGTTTTATGTCCAGGAAGATGAGCTGTAGCAAATGAAATAATATAACCCAGGGTCTCTCAGTGAACTGGCAGTTCATTTATTCAGCTAGGCTGGCTGGCCAATGAGCTCCAGATATCCACCTCTATCTACTCCCCTAGCACTAGGGTAAATCCACTGCCTAGCTTTTTCATGGGTACTAGGGATCTGAACTCAGATCCTTGTGCTTGCACGGCAGGTACTTTACCAAAAGCTATGTTCACAACCCATGAACCTTAAACATTTTGATTGGCACTATTTTAAGAGCTACTATATGCTTCCTATTCTCCTAAAAGCAGAATACAGCAGTTAGGCTTTCTAACTAGAGTTCATCACTAGGGTCATTTATGTCTCTCCTGGTTACAGAAACATCTAACCTTGAATGCACTGAAATCACCAAAGGAACAGTTCAAGCTCTGGAGTTCCAACACTGTGCCCAAGAAATGCCTCACCCTAGCCTAAAGCACTTCATTCTAAATGAAGCAGGTGGTGGCAGTGATACTTTTTTTTTTTTAGAAGAAGCATTTCATTATAGCTTTAACATACTCAATAACAATTTCCAGAACAAAGATACATCTCTTTCAAAAGTGGCTATAAAAAGGCCAGCCTGGTCTACAAAGTGAGCTCCAGGCCAGCTGGGGCTACAGGGAGACCCTGTCTCAAAAAGAGAAAATAAATAAATAAAAATAAAAAAGAGCTCCATTTCATTTTAAAATATACTGTTTGTTACAGAAAGACTCATTGTTTTTGCTAATAACACTTAGATGTTAGCGCATGCATCTCTAATCTGTATGTATCTGATTATTACTAGTCATAGTCAGTTGCACTCGGACCCTTGGCACCTGTGTATGGATATAAAGTCACCGGGTAGATTTCAATGGTAATGTTTATCACCTCTACTAATTAACATGATGTAAACTTTTATGCTTCCTCCTCAAATACAACTCATTTTTTGATTTGTTGATTTGTGTATGTGTGTATATCACACAGAACATCCCAAAACCATCTTATTCATCTATACACCCACTTCCCAGATGGCACCCTCCCATAACCCTGCCCCCCACTAGAGCCCTTATACTCTGTCATCCCTGCTACTGTCCGCTGTGTTGTTAGCACCCCCAGCTGTTCCCCACTACTTGTCTATCCAGTGAATCTAGTCAGCCTATCTAGAGGTCTTTGTTTTAGGAAGGTCAGCTGTTCCTCATCTAGTAGCAATCAGGTGTCAGTACTCCTTTAGATAAGATTGGGGTCTGCTGTTCATTTTCCCAGTTCTGTGCTGGGTTACTATCTAGGAGTCTCTTGGGCCACCCTGGCCAACAACTCAAAAGACGGTATCTCCTATCTGGCATTGTTTCTTGTTATGTAGCCTTTAGCTATGCACATGGACTCTTAAAAATTTATATTGGCCCCTTTAATCTTTGGTATACTTTCCTTTTGGGTGTTTAAGACCATACAGTTGGTCCAGATAAACCAATTTATTTCTACTCTCAAGGTCGTTTGAGGATCTGTTCCTCAGAGGTCACATGGGCTTGGGAGGAGCCCCTGGCTCCTTTCTTTTACCAGTTCTGCCTACGTGAAGATACTTTTTGAGTGATTATACACTCTCTTTTCCAGTTTACTTTTTGAGTGATTATACACTCTCTTTTCCAGTTTCTACCTCCTTTCTCCCTCCCTTTAAAAGTGTTAACTGTCACTTTATCACACCATTACTGGGCCATTCCCTTTGTACTACATTCCTCCCCTCCTTTTAATTTTCAGCTTTAAAAACTCATGGATCAGTTTAGAAACCAGATGTCCAGATCTGCTAGATAAGTGTAGATAGGCCCTGAGTGGATGCATCTGTGCATAAAGGCTTGGCGCTATCTATTTTGGCGGATCAAATTACTTTTTATAAGTGCTTGGTGCTCAGCTGTGTTCTGGATAGACGAGTCCAGGTGGGTTAGATAATACAAAATCAGCTGTTTTCTATATTCTAAATAAGCCATGCTAATACAGTCATTTGGATTCACTCTTTCAGAATATACTGAAACTCCCACGGCATGCCCTGCTGAGTGGGTGGGCACAGCATTGGAATCTAAACACCCTCCCCCAGCTTAGCAGCAAAAGCGTGAGCACTCAAGTATTCAGCACATCACACTGTTGTCTGACCGCTTTAAAGGGCTGTCTGTTGCCCAAATATAGCAAGAGAAACAGGGAAGCATCAACACTGGCAAATGAATCACACTGCAAAGAACATATCTCACAGGCTGCCTAGCTTCTAAAACCTGGTGCTTTCTGTGGTTCTGGAGTCTGATGCACAGGACACTTCTGAAGCTGCCCTGAGCACATAGCTAATCACCCAGCTGCAGTGCGCAAAGTGGGGCAGGCAGAGTATTCCCCATGAATGACTGACAGGACCCCTCAATGACCCAGCAATTAACATGTCAGAGTTGAGCATAACTCAGTCCTTCCCCATCTTCGACAACCCAGCTTCATAACTGAACGTGGGGTTATAGAAAATCTGGTAAAGTAGAAGGTTTCTGAATAAGCAACAATCAAAATTTGATTCAAAATAAAACCTGCGATGAATCTGAGGTCTTTCTGGCAACACACATGCTTCACCACATGATCTCATTGTTCTGAGCACACAACATGCGCACTGTTCACTGTGCACATTCTTATACCACACGAGGTCAACAAACACTGTGAAACACCCTAGCTCAGATTCCAGACTAGCACATGTTATGGACTGCAGGGTTTTGTGGGGTTTTTTATTGTTCATACAAAGGTTTCTGCTCTTATAGAAACATAATGTTTAATTATGGAAAATAAAGACCTTAATTATTTCCCTACCATCGTTCCTCAGCATGTATCAAGTTCTATATATCTGGATAGTATTATGTTACAATGTTTGATTTTGAACATTGTCTGAGTTGATGATTTGAGTTTCATTTAAAAAAAATAGTTAAATGAATTCTGGATTAGGATTAGGACAGGATTTCCAAAAATTTCTGAAATGGTCCTAAATGTACCTCTGCCATTTTGGACTATACATTTATGTGAAGCAGTGTTCTCAGCATTGACGATTATAAAATAAAAGCATCAGTCAACTCTGAAAAACACTGAAGATGTTTTAAATCCTACAGCATCAAATTTTCATCCAAGAATACATTTTTATGCAAAAATAAATAGCTACATTCATCGTAGTATGTAATTTGATTTCATCTTTAATGGTAAATTATATGTGTAACAAATAATTGTATTAAAATAAATGTCTTTATGCCTTCTTAGTAGTAAATATTTGATTTGTATACTTATTTTCTATACTTGTTGTGGCTGAATATGAAATGTCCCTCATAAACCCATATATTTGAATACTTGGTCCTCAGCCTGTGATGCTGTTTAGCAAGTAAAGCCTCCCTGGAACAAGTGAGTCGTTGACTGTGGGCCTTGAGGTTATACTCCCAGCCCTAACTCCTGTCATCTCTCTGCTTCCTTACTACAGATGTACCATGACCTGATCCTCTTCAGCTACCGTACCGTTCCCACCATGATGAACTGCACCCCTTCTTAAACTGTAAGTCAACATAAACTCCTCTTCCCTCAGGTTTCTTCTTGTCAGGTATTTGGTCACAGTAAAGAGAAAAGCAACTTAATGCCGGTATACCTGGGTCACATAAAAATTTCTCAGGTGAAACAGAAAGTTTTAGAAGCTCTGCTCTACATGTGTCCTGAAGGCCTAGGACACCAAGACTCTTCTCTTCTTTTGTGACTCTGTGAATGAAATTCTAGGCATCATGTATGCTAGCACTCAACTACTGAGCTATACCCTCAGCCCTTTGAGACAGATCTCCCTGTGTAGACCAGGCTAATCTCAAACTCATAATCCTCCTGCCTAAGTCTCCCATGTGCCTGCCTCTAACTGTAAACCTGCTGCATCAGTCTCCTAAGTGCTAAAATTACAGTTGTGTTACCCACCATACTCTCCAAAGTAATTAATGTCACTACACACAGCTGAGCA